AAAGCAACAACCATTCATGCAGTTAATGACCTGAGTATTTCAAGTCCTGTGCAAAAACGCATGATCTCACGGGCCCGCCTGGTGCGTTTCAGCCTGGGTTTAATTCTTACGACCGTATTTAAATTGTATATTATATTCAAAACCCGCAATACACATTTAGGGGTCTAAATAAAATTTACCGTGTTTGGTACTATTATAAAATATAGTAATTCTAATTTTAGATGATGTGTGTTTATGTAAAAAGTAAGGGTTAAAAAGAAAGGAATAAAAGGAAGGTGAATAAGATAAATCGGATCAAAAAAACTGAACAGGAATGTTTTGGTCCATTAAGTCGCATACATTACTGTTCAGTGCTGCAACTGGACCTCGTCAGTGTGACGGTTGCAGCAAAAATAACATGCTATATGTCAAAAAGAAAAAGGGAAATTTAGGTAATGTAAAAAAGTTAGTGCAGACGGTAAAAGTGCATTTAGGAAAACAAACCTCCACCATTATGGATATCGAACCGATGTAGGGCCTGTAAAATAAATAAAATAAAAGTGGAACGTTAAACCGGTAGTGGAGGCGCGAGAATCGGAAAAATCTAATTAAAATTTAAGAAAAATACTATAGCATATATTAAAAAATCATAAAGTTGGTCATCGGCCAAAGATCGAGAACAGCACGCAACATAACAAAATGAAGAAAAAGGGGTGGTGGGATAGTGGGACTGTGGTAGAAATCAGAAAAAAGGGGAAAATATGTTTGTTTCTTGTTTTTTTTTTGTTGTTGGTAATCAAAAATCGGCTTCATTTTAGCAAACTACGGGGGCAGTTCAAGGAATTATTGCAGAATTCTGGCATACTAGAGAGAGAAACTAGTGAGGACAGTCGTGAGCGTCGTATTAATGCTGGTGACAGGAAACGTCTGAATGAATTGAAACGAGATGCACGGTATGTCCTTGTTTTTAAAGAATTCTTAAGTTTCCGTCAAACACCGTCATTTTTTAATCGTTTCTGATGTATTCTTTTAATATACGCGTTGTTTTTTGTAGATTTGAAGTGAAGAAGCGAAAAGTGCTAAAACCGGAAGCGCATTTTGATTCAATAATGGATTCTGAAGGTTCATTTTTTTGTTGGCTGACTTGCAAAGTTTACGAAAAAGAACAGCATTTTACGTGCATTTACATGTGTTGTTGTCAAATGGGCAAGCACCCACTGTATGATCTGATAAGGCAAAATCGACTGGTGAGACGCAGGGTTTCTTGGGAGTTATCATGGGAAA